GAAAAAAAAAGGGAAAAAAAAGAAAAGGGGGGGGGGGGGGAGGCAGGAGGGAGGGAGAGCGGGGCAGAGAGAGTGTAAGAGTAAGAATGAAAGAGTGAAGGTGGGAAGGAAAAAGAGGGAGGGAGGTGAGACGGAGAGAGGGGAAAGGACTGCAAATAATTTTGGAACAATGCTCAGTGACCTGTCATGGAGTTAGACACGGACAGAATTGGGCCCCAGATGATTCTGGCTTCACCTGCCTCAATCAGAGGAAAATGAGCAACTAGCGATTTTGCAGAGCCCTATTTCAGACATACATGGTGAGACTGCATCAGCAAGTTCTCCTGAAAGTCAGATCTCTCAGAAGACACCCAACAGTTAACAGTGGTGAACACCTCTCTGGCTTTCACAAACATAATCTTGGGCCTTGCCTTTACATGAGGATTTCCTGGAACTTGCTGTTCTGCTAAACTCAGCATGGGATAACACAAACACCAGCACCCAGCCTCCTCCTCCTTACTCCACCTTCAGCTTGTTCTGCTCACCTCTGAATCAACAGGGAGCATAGGCCAAGAAAAAATTGCTTCTCACCCTCTACAGTGCAGAAAGCTTGTTGTGATTCTCTGGCCATGACATAGGTAGTGGTAGTACTGGATGGTACTAGTGGGATCAGGCTTGGTTCTAGCAGTCTGGAGGAGCTGGCAGACTCAGCATGTGAGCAGGAAAGCCTAAAAGCTGCAAGTCTACATTTCATTTAGGCCAGACTGTCTCACAGTTCTCTCCATTGATTCAGCAATCAGACTTCAGAATAAGAAATAGCACAGAGCAGTTAGCGGGTGACAGTCTGGGATCACAGAGCATGGATGTGTGGGGAGTATGTATCCTCTAACAAGCCTCTCTAGTGGCTGCCTTTCCTGCTCTCTATTTATTTGAAAGTGGCTTGGGTTAGAAACTGTCTATCAGTGTCTGTATGTCATCATGCAAAGAAGAAATTACTGAAATAACCACAAATATTTACCATTTCTCTGCTGCCAGGTGGGCAAACACTGTTGTTGAGGGCCTCACAATCCACACAAGAGCCCTGTTAAGAAAACAAAAGGGGAAAACTTAATCTTCTCAAAATGAACCCATTCCCCATGCCAAGAAAGCTACAGAGCTACTGTTCCCAGTATATATCCAAAACATCACAACATGTATCAGAAACATTCCTAGGACGGAGTTTCCACACTCTGAAATGGGGTAAGTTTATCACTTAAATAAAATGACTCCTTTGGCTTGAGGAGATGCTTGCACCTGACTGCAAGATGGGGTCTGTCTCCACCCTGTGAGTCTTATCAGCCACTAGACATGTAGCTATGCTGGAGAACACTTTGGGCATCCATGCAGCAGGCCTCACTAAGTCAGAAGTTATGTGGACCCTCTGGCCACTTGGGATTAACTGCGTCTCTCCAAATCAGGTACCTCTTGCTTATTCAGAGCCTCATCTTCTTTCTTTAGGAACCTACCAATGATCAAATTATGGAGCAAGCACCTAAAATAAGGTATACAAAACTGTTCAGGTGAGAATATTGCACAGCATTTGCAGCTCCTGCTACTGAACGACTGCTTCCTATCCAGGCTACAGGACACCAACGCTGACAGCTACGGGAACAAATGAATGTCAGCTGAGTTAGCAACTGTGGTGTGAAGATGATCATATAAGGCCTTATGAAAAGGCAAATGTACTTCTGAATCAAAGGTAGGATGGGTGCAAGGAAAGAACAACAGCCTGCAAGGAACATTAGCTGATTTCCAGGAAAGCAGTGCCAAGTGCTAGCAGAAGAAACACTGACGGTGCTGACGCTGCCTAAGTTCACGTCAGGGGACCTCTCAGAGAATGCATTTTCCAAATGCAATTTACACAGACTGCTTTTGTCCTTCCAGGTGAGTGTGGGGTCTACAGCAACCGCTAGCATGAGAATGGGAGAAGCTAACTTACTGTCACAATTTTATGTTGCTCTTCATTGCATCTGTGAGGCAAAATGGGAATTATCGAAGGAGGGATGAAGATGCCGTCCAAGGTATGAATAATACCATTTGATGCCACAATGTCTCGCATGTTTAAGGGGATCCCCGATTCATCCATCAGAATTCTTCCCTGATGCAGAAACACAAATAATTTATCTGCATTTTAGCTCATTAGACTGTATCAACTACAAAAAGCCAATGCAGGAAACAGGTGGTACACAATATCAAGTGCAACCACAGAAATGGTCAAGCCTCTTAGTGGAGTCACAGGTTGGATAAGAAGCAAACTAATTCAATGACCTCATTTAAGTCTAATTTTTAAGCAGAGATAGGCTGAAACCACATTGTTCAGAACCACATCCACACATTCTCCTAACACAGGAGGGTTTGCCCAAAAGGGGTTTGATTCATACTTACATCTGCACTGATGTTGATGGTAAGTATCTGGTTAGCCATAGTAACAATGTATGGCATCATTATCAGTTTCTCTACAGTCACCTGAAATAAAAACACAAGGGGACAGTACCATGAAAAAGCAGGGTCATTTCAGTACAGCTTACAGAATGCTTCCATGATTCCCATCAGTTAAAAAAACCTTCTAAAGCGGACTTGTCTTTAACATTTACATTTCATTAAATACCTTAAAACACAAAAAATGGGTCAGAGGGAAAGCCAGGACTTCATATGAATTGTTTGCAATACCACAATCACAGTGGTGCTAGCAACTGCAGCCTTGGTTTTCATTCCTTGTGTAAGTAACAGTTGAGCACAGCTGAAATTAAGGAGATTTTCCAGGACATATTCAATAAACAATGAAAGCTCAGCCAGAAGCATAATAGAGAACATATTTTGACTTAATAAATAAGCTTATTTCTAAAGGCAGAAAAAATTGTAAACTGCAGCTAGTGTACTGAGAAACTTAATGATTTGAGAAGTAAGAAGTTCTGAGAACCAAGACAATTGTTACTTTTGTGTCCAACAGGTTATTAAAGAGTAGCTCAGCTTGTTACCATGTTGTTATTCATCAGTTGCAAGTAAAACTAGGTTTTGCTGTTTTGTCAAAGTGCTGCTCATTTTCTTTACTGGAATCAGGAAAATCATAAAGACTGACATTTGCTTCTCAGTAAAGAATGGAAATAATATTGATATTTCTTAATGAAGGACATGACATTGTACCATAATGCTTGAGTATTCACTTCCTCCACAGGTTTTGAGTCTAACTTTAAACATTTCTCTTGTTTACTGTGTAAGGGAAAATGTCTTGTTGATGCACTGTAATGATTTTATTTACCCTGCCATTAATAGTACACAGCAACATTGGTGCAAGAATTGGCGGTACCAGGTCAGATCACAGGCTCACTTGCACCAGTTCTCCATCTCTAACTTTAGCCACTGGTGGAGCCCATGGAAAGAGGAAAAGGAGCAGGGAGTTTGGACCAATTCTTCACTTGGCGATAACTTTTGTGTTACTGCTATTAGTGTTTTAGGGAAACTGTAGGCTGGAGAGTTCAGAATTAAGGTATGCTCCTGATTAATAGTTTAACAAGAGAATATTTGCCTGCAGCAAACTCTGCCGGGCAATATTTTCATTGTAACGGCCATCCAGCTAAGGAGCACCATCACTCCCAGGAAACTCAGTTTCATGATGGAAGAGCACAGACTGTCCCTCCTGGCAACCACTTTCATGGTAAACATTTCGCCTCATCAGATCCTGAATCACATCTCTGCTTCTCCAGGGGAAGTCCAAAAAGTATCAGCTGAAGTCATCGACACTCCGACCTCTATGCCAAACCACACAGTTGATAATACGCTGGCCCAAAGGACCCCAATTATCTGGAATTAGAGCTGCCTGCCTTACCGCTGCTGAAGTGTAGATATGATGTTTCACAAGTTCCTGAAGCTTATTTATGCCCTAAGGAAAGAAGAGAACATAAGAATTAGATACCCCTTCAATGCTCAGGAGTAAGAGGAGGCAACTACATCTTCTTTTAACCGTGACTGACAATGCTAATGTACTATAGCGAGTAAGTTCCTTCATTTTCCCCTATCCAAAGCTGGGGTGAGGAAAGCAAGCCAAACGTCAGATTTAAACAATCTAGCTAACCATGTTTCTTACTGCAGGTTCCAACAGCATTCACTTCTCTCCCAAAGCCTTACAGAAACATGGCTTAGCTATTTCCAGGAAGAGCAACTTTCAGCAACGATCAGATACATTGCACAAACCATTCCAGCACAGCCTAGTGCAACACAATTGGCTCAGGATGTCTTAAAGTTCTATGAGCGCTCACCTCTGTGAAAAGATAAATGAGCCTTCCATCTCTCAACTTATCCACACCATCATTGCTGGGTACAAATACAGTAAAGGGGCCTGGTCCATCCAATATTGCAGGCAGGCCGCAATTCTGCAAAAACAATAAAAGATTTCATCATGGATCTAGCATGAGTTAGTGAGGGGGGTCTATCAGGAAGGGAGAGGAAACGCTAAACAACCCACTAGAGGCAGAGTTATTGAAAAGCAAACGTATACGAGGGGCAATGGGACACCAAGGATAGGTATGAAATATAACAGAGGTATAAATGCCACAAAAACATAGCTTGGACAATGAAGCCACTGATGTGAATGCAGCTAATGTGAACAAGGGAGTACTGGCTAATGCTGCCTGCGTGTTTTAAACACACAGGACACATACAGAGACTAAAACTGTATCTTTTTGCCTGAAGAGAAGAAAAAGAGGATCAAGTCTATAATCACAGTTGCAGTTGGTGAATTTTGTAAATTACTAACAGCCACAGAGCTGAAAGCAAGCAGGCCAAGATTGTTGTGAGCAATGCTAGAGCAGATCCAGATGACTCTGATGGAGGTGAAAGGAAAATCAGTGAAAATCAGTGAACTAATGTCCCTAGTGAAAAGAGTAACTAAATAAATCCTGGGCAGCAGCCTCAAGGGTTTATAACCTAAGGACTGCTTTTATTTAAAGATCTACACCCCAAAACCAGGTAGCTACAACCTAGCCTGGCACAAGCAGTCATGAAACCTTCACTCTTTGTCCTGACAGTGGTCAAGAACTAAACATGCTTTGGAGAACAAACTCTCCACAGGGTACAGGGGAAGGGGTGGTGGGGAAGCAGATGGGAAAGAGGCGTGTATGCTTGCTGCTTGTGCCAGATCCCCTATAGGTGTGTAAAATACACAAAATAAGAAATGACACAGAAAAAAGCATCCACAAAGCAAGCCAAACTACTGAGATGTATTTAAATGTTTTTCAAAATCCCCACAAAAACAGCAGCAGGCTTTGCAACAGCAGCAATGCCACACCTTCCTGGAGCAGACACAAACATGCTTACCTCCAGTATAGTTTCAAATCTACTGAAGATCTCCATTGAAGCAAGGATCTCACCAATGGTTTTCTGCAAGAAGATACAAAGAGGAGAAAAATGGCTGGGGCTGAAGTGAGGTCTGAGAACGTACTGGAATGCCCTTGGCCAGTTTGTTTGTGGTTTGCATGTAAAGATCTACAGGATCATCATCCTCACAGTCTTTAAACCCTCTGTATGGGCCAGCTGACCTAGCAAGGACTGAGCCTGCAGTAACTTAGGCACAAAGTCTTTCCCATGCACAACAAACTAGATTTTCCAAGGTACCATGCACTTGAGCACCCTTCTGTTTTCCTACTCTCATCTGCAGATTAAATTAAATGAAGAGGCAATTGCTTACTATCATTAAACTAGAGACATACTTCCAGCGATATACAAATCAATTCTGGGCTGGTAGGCAGTGGAGCTGCTCTGTCATCTCAAGTGTCCCTGTGCTTTGAGGAAAAGAGTTCACTCTACCACCTGCAAATGAGCCCCAATGCTGAGAAAATACAATACGTATGCATATTCCTGAAAACACAGAGGAAATGGATGCCTTCCTTTTTTCCACATTGCCCATGAAGACAAAGGTAACAGGAGGAATGTCCCTTCAAGTATCAAAACTTGTGAAGGGACTTGTCTGACTTTTATTTGCAGGAAACTGCATATTTTTTTGGCAGAAACTGCTTCCCATAGAACATGCAGAGGCACAGAACATTATTTCCAAGGGACACTACTGGTACAAAGGGATTTGATGCCAAAAATGGCTGAGGTGATCACTAGCCTTCATTGCAATCACAATGGGAAACAAATGCCTGAAGGAATCCCGGGAAAGACAAGCTCTGCAGGGAGCACTTTTACTGTCCTGCCATCCCAGAATTGCTGCAAACCCTTCCCTGCAGGTACCTGTGATCTTTACCAATGGTGTAAGGTAAATGCAAATTACTACCAAATTCCTACTAAATCCAAGAGCTTGTGTCATTCTCTGAGAAATTTTTTTGCAAGGAGGTAGGAAGTAACAGGGCCTACTTTCTGCATATAGAAACAATATAAAAATGCTCAGGCATAGCAATGTAGTAGCTACAGCAAAAACTCCCAGCTAACAGGGCAAAGTGCTTAGCTACTTGAACCTGAAAGCCCTGCTCAGTGTCTTAAATTCAAGACATGACTTCAAAATGCAAAACTCTAATAATTATTTGTCCTCATTTTAAATATTTTTAATGCAAAGACAACTTTTTGATTCTAATTTCAAAACGCAGTGCAGACTGATTAAAGAAAATCTTCATTTGATTATGTGAAGAATGCTTTTTCAATATTTATCCTGTAAAATAAGTATTCTGTAAGATACGACTGAAAAAGAGCTCATTTGCTATGAATGATCTTACTCATGAAAGTAGAACCCTCTACTCATCCAAGCACTGTAAAAGCATCATTGCGAGGCCTGTATCTGGCTTATGTAGTGCTATTAGCTATTTTTAATGGTATGCTGACATAATAGTGGCTAGCAGGCCTTATCAGGAACTGAAAACAAAATAAATAGGCTTTTCGCTTCAAAAAAAAGCCTCACAGATTTGGAATTTTAATGATGAAAATATATGTTTTTAAAGTGTTTATTCTGCTGTCCCATAAAACAGAATACAAATGTCTGTGTACCTGTGGGTTTCTGAGGTTGTCAGTGCTGGTTTTTTTCCTTAGGGTGTTAACGATATGCATGATGCCATTGGCTGCTGGTAAGTTCGATTGCAAAACATTGTACAGTTCTCCCGGCAAGTCTTGATATCGAAATGATTTGCTGTACATCTGGATAATAATAAAAGGTTATTTTCTGGTGGTATACCTGTGTTATCACAATAGGTCTATAAATCATTGTTCCCTTCAGTGTTCTCTGCCTATGGGTCAGCAAGATGAAGGTACAATCCGAGTTACTGTGGAAAAAGTAAATTTAAGGGGTGGTCTGGGTGTAAAACAAACATCCCACCTCTACTTGAGTTGGGGTAATATTTTGATCCTGGGGGGTACTTTTAAGTCTTATTACAGAAAGAAGACCTAATCTGGGACAATCAGGTCTAGAATTAAGTTTGTCTGAGTGTGAATGATGCCTGATCCCAGCTCTGGATCACAAAAGGGTGGGCTGACCATCAAGTAGCTGCTGCATCAGACTGCCAAGTACAAGGAGAGGGGCACAGTGCCTCCTGGGCACCAGAGTACAGATTTTGGAGGCAATCCTGGAACTACAGCTTTGATTGCAACTTTTATTGGCTCATAATGCCAACAAGGAGTCTTCAGAACAAAGCCAAAGCAGACAGGCTCACTGAATTACAAGGCACATATCTGGTCCTTCTATACTGTATACAACCACGCACTGAAGCTGGGCATATGGAGATGTTCCAAGGGTAACCTACAAACTAAGCATCAATGTATTGGTGCTGCAGCCATAATCCAAGTTCAGGCAAGCACAACTTCCCCATGCTTTTCATTTCATGACATGCATTTCTTGAACTGCTCCTCCCTGCCCTGAACTTCAGTTCGCATCACTGAGGATTCTGGCTGAAACAAAGGAAAGGGAGGGCAGACTTCCCAGATCAAAAGACTCCTGAGTAAACAAACAGGAAAGAAATTTAAAAGGAGCATCGACAAGCTCAGCTCAGATTCCCTGGCTCCAAATACTTTGTCCTTTTGATGCATGCAGTGTCCATGTATTATGACCCAGACCTCAAGGCCAAGGCTGGATCCTCAGAGAGGAAACATATGGCCCTCCCTTGGCCAGCTGTGAGCACGCATTCAGGAAAAGTGTAGGATAGAGAGAGAACAGTGGATGCTGGAAAATATGAGTCAATTGTAAAAGGGAAAAGGGAAAAAAAGCCTTCCATATCAGAACATAATGATGAAAAACTCTTTGCTAGGATGACTAAGAAAAATAAAATAGGAAGAGGGGAAAAGGGAAACTGCAAGAGAAAAATATTCAGCATGTGGCTGTGTCCAAGCACACAATCTCCAAGGTAAAGCATTCAGTCTGAGTAGAGACTTTGCTGCCTCTTCCATGTCAGCCACATGAATATTGTGGCTGCTAACAGTGTAGGGAAAAGGTCTCTTCTCCAGAATACATATACAAACCAAGGAAAGACCATTCACAAGATGGATTCTGGCTAATTGGTTGTCTGCAAGACAGAAGTGGTTGCTTGGGGTGTCAGGTCTTAAATCACCTTGCTTTGGAATCCACAAAGGAGCTTGTTGCTCTGATAACAGGCAGGCTGATTAGAGAAAAAGTTTTTCTGGTTAAGAAAGCACACCAAGGAAACTATGCTCAAGCTCCAGTCTGTCCTACATGAAAGCTGCGGTCCAGGACTTTCGTCCATGAGATCCTTTACCTGGCTGCTGAATGTTAGCCGATGTCCTGACAAGGTCCACACAGTCTTGGCTTTTATCATGTCTTCTACCAAATGCAGACCAGGAACAATGTGCATTCTGCACAAATGCTCAGCAGTGGTATCCTTTGGGGAATAAAGACCACACAAAGAAGATAAATGACATGTTCTTTCAAGAACCTCATTTACTGAAAGACCCATGACATTACCTTTCTCCCAGCTAATACACACAAAGAAATTCTTAGCATGCAAGATTGAGCTTCCCTCTTTATTTTGGTTCACTGGAGTAGCACTGTGGCAAATCTTTTGCTTCTGTTTGTGTGCACATTCAAACACAAGGACACTGGTTAACCTGCAAGTGACTTCAGAGGAATCCCCTAGACAGAAACCTACTGGATTTGGACAATTTAAAAACCATCCTTGCATGCTTCAGATTATAAAACTTGCTGAAGTTCCCCATACACAATCTTTATTTATGTTGGACCATGTAGGTGGTCTAAGCTGCTGAATTTACATTTAGTTTCTTCCTTTCTTTTCTGGGCTTTCCATCACTGGTGGTATTTTAAGACAATCCTCTGGCAATACTGATTTAGGTGGAACTGGTCCTTGTGGGAACAGGTAGACTAGATAACACAGGAGCCTTTCCTGATGTATTTTCTATGAATCCAGAAGTTACCATGATGACCTGGGCACAAGGCCTGACTTGTGTTAGTGGAAACTTCTGCTCAACTAGGTAGTAGGAGACAGCTAATGTTCCTGGCATTTGCAGGTTAGGAGTTGCTCCCTAGACTATATATGAGTTACTGCTGCTGCATAGATAGCTTGGCTATCAAGCAAAGGAATGATATTTCTAAACCAGTTGAAAATGTAATGTTCAAGTGGGGTTGGTCTGTCTGGATTATTTTTAAGACATTTACTTTCTCATATCCAAGTGCTACCTGCAAACTAGCTGCCACCTGAAACACAACAGGCACCTTGTATGAGCCGCATTTGTAGCTCATGTGTTGTAATTTTTAGCTCTGTCTGGGAGAAGTGGCTTATATACCTTCTCATCCTCATGAGGAATAGCCTGGTTGGGAGCTTAACTGTGCAAAACCTACTGCAAATGAACACAATTTAATTAAAAATAAATAATAAATAAATAATGACCTGCAGGACCTGCTGAAGCCTAGAATTCTCAAACTCTTGTCCTGGCTCCCACAGCAGTTTTCTCCAGCACTGCCATATGTGCTGTCTCCATTAATAAAATGAGCTCTTCTCAAGAAGTTGATACCATACCCACATCTAGGGCCATAGGCCCAAAATGCAATACTTTGATGCAAATCTCAGCCCCTTTTGAAAACCCCACCCTCAAGTAGTGAAAAGCCACCTAAAGTTATGAGAATAGTCACACACAGGAGGTGTGAGCTTTAAATGAAGAATGGCCAGAAAAACTTACACTTCCTGACATTATAAACAAACCCTGTCAATATTGAAGAGAGAGAGAGGTTTTAAAAATAATGAGAGGGATATAACATCCTCTATGAGACTGCAACTTAACCAGACAATGAAGAGTCTGTCTCCCCAAGAGATTGCTTCTATAAATACTGCCTTCCAAAGTTCCTCTCTCATGTGTCAATCAGTTTTTACAGGCTGCAGAACTCAGGCAGGAAAGAAGCCCAAGACAGCAAAAATTTGCTAAAACCAAGAAAACTTACGTTAAATTCCATTCTATCATGAATCGGAAGAAGGGATGGTACAAAGACTGTGAAAGGCCCGTATTTAGTCAGCAACACTGAGCAACCAGAAGCTGTAAAAAGAGTGGCAACATGAAGTATTTACTTGGCGTATGATTTAACTCCAGCAATAATTATTCCTCTTGTTAACAGCACAATTCAATCTAGACATTTTTGGCCTGACGGAAGTAACTAGTACTTGTTTACAAGGAACCAGAGGGAGTCTGATATTGCTACCACAGCCCAGCTTGGTTGCTATTAGTTTTAGCACTTGCCCACAAGATTTCTGAAGGATTGCTGGTGACTTTGTTCCACTTTGAATCACTGCTGGAATTTGCAGAATATTCATAATAATTTTGTTCCTACATGCTTACTACCTTATTCTTGGGCCAAATGTCCTCTGTCTTCCCCTTAAAATAACTAACTTTTGGGTGTCATCAGGATTTACTGAAACTAAATACTTCTTGAGTAGCTGCTACGAACCCAGTTGTCACTCTCCACTCAATCATCAAAGGCCCATCAACAAAGTCCACATCAACAAAGGTCATAAGGTATTAAGTCCCACTGCACAGGAGTTAGGAACCCAGAGATCTTCGTGCAGTTGCCCATAGCATAAATCATTAGAGAAAACATGCAAAAAAAGTGCTGGCAACACTGATACGTAGCAGGGAAGGGTATTCACAAAAGCTAAGCTGAGCTTTGAGCCCTATCTCTATGCTTCTCTTAAGTTAGTGGAGATAGAGAAGACTGTGCAGAGCATGAGCTGGAGAAGGTATCTAACATAAATATGCTTTGACATGAGCTAAAGGTTTCTCATTCTTTCCTTGGATTACAGTGGGGCAAAAATTAACCTTTGCAGATATCACTCCCCACACTTGCAGTACACGGGTTCGAAAACAGTCTTCTATGCTTTGCAAAGCAATTCCTCACTCAGAAAGCACTACGGTACATAGAATAAAGCCTTTTCATCTCTATAATAGCCACTCACACACGCGTGCTGGCAAGGAGGCTGTTTAAGGCTTAGTGGATGTTCTACTGAGCAGAGGACCCACGGCACACCAGCCTCAAGCATCACTGCTAGAAAACGCAGCAAAAGCTGAAAGACTGCTGAGCCTTCAACATAGGTACTGCAGGTGGAGGCCCACTGCTGGTTTGATACAAACAGGTTTGAATCACACCCCCAAGGCATGTTTTCCTTCTTCTGCAGATATGGTACATCCTTCACCAGGACTGCCAAATACCTAATGCGCATCCACAGTGCTCTCTGCAACAGTATCCTCAATTCACAATCCAGAACTGGTGATACGAGTTCAGAGATGTGATGTGTTTAGTTTTGCAGCCCATGGTCATACACTGCAAAATAGATCTATCATGCTGAAAGGCTGTTAACCTTTTCTGACACACTCTTGTCCCCACATTTGCTCCATTCCCCAAACAAATTCAAAAGACATTTACCAAACATTTTCTTGGCGACGCTTAATTTCCTAGCAAACCTCCCTCGTGAATTATGCTGATTTATCTCACTCAAGAGATCTTTATAACAACTTCTCCCATCTCCAATCTCCCCTTCTTTACACACACAGCTAAGAGACAAGAATGAAACATAACAAATCATTAAAAAACAGTTTGCAACACATTCAACAAATGTGATTAGAACAACATCTCAGTATCTACACTCAAAAGACAAACCCCAGCTTTAAGGTGTAGGTAAGAGCTTAGTAACTTCTGCCTAAACTAAGTGACAGGAGAAAAGATGCATATTGCTGGAGTGCAAGCAAATTTGGACCTACCCAACGAGAATGAAGATGCTTTCTCAGATACAATCAACAGAAGGATTGTCTGCTCTAGAGTTCAGGGTACAGGTAGGCACAATATATTTATCGACACCTTAGACTCAGTCTGTACCAGTCATTACAGCATCTGAAAATTTTAGGTAGTGCGTAAAAACCACAGGTCAAGTGAAAATCTAGCAAACAGCTCCTATGTGACCCCACAGCTTCAGTGAGAAGTGCCAGCTCAAGCACATCAGTTAGCTACGGTTCCTCTTAGACTTAATGAGGGCCCCAGAAAGGCTAATGACTTTTCCAGAAAAGCTTATCTACATGTGAAAATCTCTGTCCTGATTCACACGGATTTATAGTCATTACTCAGAGATTACTTAAGATCATTGGACGATAACCATGTTTCTTCCCGTTTGGATTTTGTCCAAGTATCGGCTCAGCTCTTTCTGTTTCAGGGATGCAAAGACATGCGACACGGGAGGAATTTGACATTACTCCAGCCTCAGAGGGCTGAGTGCCAGCTGATGGGGAACGGACATACTAAGGCAGGGACCATGCTGAACACCGTGTCCTGCACTTTGCTAGTGTTATCTTCAGAAAGGGAAGCCACTGTATTTCAGTTCTGGCCTGGAGCAGACAATGAGCAGGGGGGTGCTAACAGTTTTAGCAGCACTGGAAAGGAAGGGTCAAGGAGATGGGACTGCTCTTTCCCTCTTCAGTCTCTCAGAGATGCTCCGCCTTTTCTTGGTAACACACAAAATTCTCAGTGAAGCTTTCTCTGGTGTTTGGGAGGCCATTATGCAAAAATAATCCTAGATCTGGCAATATTTCCCATCTAAGAAGTATCAACTTCTAGGTGTTCTGCTCCAGAGGACTAAATAAGGTCTGATGTTTCTTCCGTCAACTTCCCCCTTCCCTGTCAATCTGCAACTCTAATTTATTTCTTGCTTACAGGCCTGAGTGGGAGGATAGCCAAAGACTTAACCCTCAGAATCAAATGTGGGCAAATGGGAACAAACAAGTCACACATCTCCCTTTTAATGATTGATTATTGACTGATAATACCCTACTACCACCACCAGCTTGGGGAGCTGCATCTCCAGTTCACAGGACTCTGCTGACCCAGATTTAAAGCATCTTGTGACCCATATGCCAAAATTTACAATGACTGATGTAAAACTGTTTACTTTCAATGGGCTTGTTACAAACAGGATCTTCTCAAAAGGTGACTCTGGCCCATTCTCCTCAGTTAGCTCTAAGTTTCTTCAAAATTCAGCTCATCCAAACTCAGTTTCCATTCTAGCTGCAGAATAAGCTTCTTTAATAACAACCTTTAAACTGGCTTACCTAGGATTCCCCTGAGAATTAATTTCACACGTGGAAGTCAAGTCACAAAAATACTGCCGGCAATCATTGGGAAATACAGAACACTCGGATGAAGGAGTTCTCCTACTCATCCCAGGCTTGCAAACACAAGATGCCTAAGAGAAGGCAACACAGTGATTATAGAGTTGCATTCATCATCTTTTACCCAACAAGTCACCCTACAAAAGAGCTGTCTGGTTTCCCTTTGCAAAATCTAAGGTGAGAAGAACAGATTTGACCAGCATGATGGTCATTCAGAGAACTTCTCACCTGGCCATTCTTCAGACCCTTACAGGTTGCTAACGTGCTGTTACTGCCCTTACCTCTCCTGGACGTCTGTAAACACAAATGGTAGAGTTTTCTGGGCAGCCTCCATTGCTGTCAACACAAGGGTTTATGGGCTGGCAAATCTTCCCATCTCCTTGAAATCCATCTTTGCAGGTACATTGATAGTTTCGTGGTCCAAGAACCTTACATACAGCGAAGGGGGAGCATGGAGAAGCAGCACAAGGATCCAGAGCTGCAATTAAAGAGATGAGAGGTGAGAGTAACCAAATTTCTGTTTTCAAAACAGCACTTACTGCAGCACAGTAGAATGCAAAAGGCCTGGAAAGAACAGGGTATAAGGAATTTATACTATTAAACTTCTAAAATTTCCCAGGAAAACAGAATGATTTCAGACAGCAGGTGTTTTGGGTTTTTAATCTGAGGAATTTGGATGACACATTCTTTATGTTACTTCAGTAACAGAAGTGTGAGTGACAGAGGATGCTTGGATTTACTTCCGAATTTCCATCATCTGAGGATGTATGAAACTGCAGTTTGGTCAGCAAAAACCGCAAAAAGCCAGTGAAAATAGAGCTATCCATAGCTAGCTAATCACATGCATTTTATTGACTTTCTTTTAACAAAACAAATTCACAAACTTAAATTTGAAATCAGTGAAGAAATCCTCCAGTCACAAGCCTTATTATTTAAACTGGTATAGACTCACCAATATCCCATTGTCATGGTTATTCAGTACATACTTATAGCGAGTGCTGGATGGAACCTGCCACTCTAATTCATTTCTTGCTTTCAGGACCAAGTGAGAAGAGAGCCAAAAACTTAGCCCTTAATCTTAAAGGGATTCCTAAAAACAGGTTCTTAATCCTCCTCAGTGAAGTAGGCATTGTATTCACAATATTCAAATTCATCCAGAGATACCAGTGCAATAAGATTTTTCCAAACAGGGGTCCATTTAGGGTTACAGAGAAGTTTCTCACCTTGGCAAGTGTTCCCACTTTTTCTGTAGCCCAGCTTGCAGTCGCACATTGCTGTCCCATCCCTTACCACACATTCACTGTTGGCCTCGCATGTCACGCCTTTGCAAAGGGGAAGTTCTGGAATCACACAGCAAAGAGAGTTTCCCTTTGAGCATGCAGGGTACTGCTGGAAGATAAAACTTACCTTACAAAATATTTGGAAATGAAGGCAAATGTGGTTTCCATCCCCAAGCTGCACAAAAGCCAGGGAATATAAGTAGTGCAGACAGCTCTAAATTACCAGCAGCCTACAGGTAGTCAGGTCCCACAAGGCTTAGAGAGAAGAAAGGATCTATCTGGTTTCCAGAGAAAGAACAGAGGCACAAAGAGATGGTACATCTCAGCCACTATCACAGAGTGGGGAACAGACCCCATCTTTTCCCTCTGTCTAGATCTCCAGTGCTCAGATCATCTTCCCTCTACATTCCCAAGCTATTAATTTACCCCCAGCTCCTTTCAGGACACATGCATGCAAGCCCATGTCATAGTTTACCTCTAACAGCCCCTCTGCAGCTACCAATGTATTTACCTTGGTCGCACCTGGGGCCAGTGTAGCCTCCATAGCACGTGCAGCTTCCATTCCCAGCGACGCCACTGTTGCATTCCCCGTGCACACAGTCACACACTGCAAGGAAAGTCCAGACAAACCTGACCTTCAGCTACAAGGCAGCGCACGGGGCTTCAGGCATACATTGGCCAACTGCCCTGGGACGTGGCACCCTGATTTCCCACCAATAATCCACGGCAAACATAGCTCCTTTCAAAAATAAGGCCATGCCAGTCAGAGCTTACAGAGGGCAAACTGCATGTCCTGGGGTCAAGAAGACAAAGTGCAGCCCTGCAAGAGCAATGCCAAATGCAAGATCTAGACCAGCTTTTCAGGCACGTGTTTTAACTTCCCACTCCTCTAAGTCACCTGCAGCCAATGTGGAAAGAGGCAGTGTTATGAGAGCCTAACACATCTGTGATCCCAGCATCAATGTCATTGTGTAAGCACAACCACCGAGATCACACCTATCTCGCCTGCATGGATACAAGGGAACCAGGGGCTGGGCAAAAAGGGCACCTTGAACAGCCAGGCTGCACTGGTCATAAATCACCTCCAAAAATGCCATACATGAGAAGAAGCACTGTGTATTTTAATTTTGTAGGGAAGGCAACAAGGAAGAAGCTGGGAGACAAGTGGAGCAGTTACAGGAGTCTAGAAAACAGTCATGAAGTGAGTGGGGGTCCCTTCAGGGATGTAGGTAAGAGTATGGCTAAAAAGAGAGAGGAAACTGGGATAGGCCTGGTAAGGGGACAGAGAGATTTACAATAGGAAAAATGGACTGATTTGAGTGAAAGACTGAGAATCATTTGTCTAATGGGACAGTGGAAAAGGGCACAAAGACAAAATGCCAAGACACCTGCTATTGAACACTGCCAGCTGGCACCTTCTCCTCCTCTCCAGCATCCTTCCTCACTCAACCTCCCCTTCCTCTTTCCTTGCTCTCAGTTATTTTTGTGGAGGTTTCACCTGAATTACTCATCCTTACCTGACTGACAGTCTGGGCCAAAACGATTTTCACCTCGACAATTCTGGCAGGCAAAACCACCGTATTGCTCCTAGAAGGGCCCCAAAATGTCCCAGACGTTATTTTTCTGTATTATTGCATTGTTCCACACATTGTTATAGTTCAAAGTCTCTCCCCATTTCTGATTTCTGTGACAGCTGAAGCAATACATCGAAGAAAACTGATCTGTCCAGTGCTGTAGTAGTATTAACCAGCCCCCACGGCAAAGAAGATCACAGTGTAAGCTGACACACAAAGGGCATGCAAAATGCCAGCAAAACTCTGGTGGGCATTGAGGAAACAATGTCCTGATCACAGACAGACAGGAATGTACCAGCTGGCTTCTGATATCTCTCTGAAAAAGGAATTTGGAATTCACTAATGCCAATAGGACTTTTCACATTGATTTTACAGGGCTTAGGCACCTTCAGCATATATTTTAATTGATATAAGGTAACTTTGAGTTAAATCCAAAACCCACTTTTCTCAAAGAAGGTCCCAATAAGTAGTGTTTTAGCTCACAATGCTGTTAATTAAGGAAGTGGTAAAAACGTGCAGTTCATAAGAGAAAGTTTCAAGTCTGACACTGACCCATTAAGCTAAAAATTTTAGAAACATTGCTCTGTACCATTCAAATGTGCAGGAATTGTTTATGCTTTTGCTGTACTAAGTCTGGAGCTGTAAAAAAAACAATAAACACCTGTCCTAAATTCTCTTTCTATTCTCTCCTGCTTTTCCTGAGAGAGGGAGGATCTGCCTGCCAAGGTGCAGGACCAGTTCACTGGGGAAGTGTATCATCCAAGCCTGGAAAAGGTGCAGCTCATTAAGAGCCAAGTATCTCAGGGCTTCTTGCAGCCACAGACAGACACTGATCATTTCAACTGATCAGAGTGTTAAATTAATGCAATTCTTTCTTAATTTCTCCCTAGAGATCCTTCACCAACAGTGTCTTAGTGCTACTGCAGACCACACCAACCCTCCAGGAAAACCATAGACACTGATACTGGAATGAAGAAAGCTGCTAATGACCTTCCAGGCAGAAGGGTAGCCTTCATCCAAAGCATCTGCACAGATGCTATACAACTCCCTCTGACAAAAGCACATCACCCTCAGAATAAATCATGCACTGACCTTGCAGATGCAGGTCCCGTTTTGCTGCATACCATCCAAGCATGACCCATGGCCATTGCAGGGATTTTGAAAGCCACCCGGACACTCTAGCAGGCAAAGAGACAGGCCAGACAAGATTAGATTGAACAACCAGCACTGTATCCCCCTTTCCATCTCCTTTTCCCCCAGGCATTCCAGTTGTGCAAAAGCAACAGCCTCTTCCCGAGCAAAGTCCCTGCCTGCTTATCCAATACACCTAACACTGGCCCAGAGCTGGTGAATATGGCCAGGAGTGGCACCAAGGAGCAATTTGGCTGCTAGCTAAGAAAAGCCTTTTATTGAAAGCCTAAGGAAAAGTCCCAATGGCCCATAACTCACTAAATTTCAGCAAAGGCACTGAAACATGTTTTAAGATTGAGCCACTGCTGCTAGCATCAGCAAGAGGTGGTATCAAACACCTGAGGGCAGTTCTGCAACTCAGGACAGACAGGAGCCTGCTTTGCAAAGATGCTGAGCATTTTCAGCTCTCCCTGACTTCATGAAGAGCTTGGAAGTGTGCTCAGAAAAACATGGTCCACGCCTCTTTGGAGTGGGGTACTTCCAAATTCTGGGGACTATTTCTGATAATTTTAGGCATGTGATTCCTCAGACGAAGCCAGTTGCTTATTCAAACCACTTTGTGTGAGAACAGGCTCAAGCACTCAAACAATCTCCCATTTTCTGCAGGACTGGAAAGTGTCCTTCCATATTTCAGCAATCAATCATATGAGAAGTGTTTAGCTTGGTAGGTCTTGCTTTTGGATTTCTGAGACAAGACAAAACAAATTCTCATTACTTGGCTAAAACTGAGTAGGAGCTTTGGGATGGTTACTTTCACCTTGGGTTGGAATTGCTAAGTATTTTCTGTGGCTGAACGGCTGCCTAATTCCAGACTATACAGAAGCACACGTGGCACACACACTGCAGACTAGAGGGACGTCAGAAAGAAATATCTTCCTCTTCCTTTGGAAACTTTTTTAAAGAGGAACAAAAACATCCCTTTCCAAAAGCTTATTTTTAAAGAAGAGACAAAAGGAAGTTCCACCAAAGGAGGTTATGTTATGTGTTAAATGTAAGAGGATTCAGCTCATTTGAAGCAAAGAGATTCCTTCCCCATTATATTCTGAACCTCCCAGAGATAACAGAGATCTTGTGAGTATTTGAGGAATAATGAAAATTAATCACCTCAATGCAGATTTAATGCTTCCTTTTAAAACTGGTTTGACTTACTCAACAGCTAGAGAGCGTCGTAAAAAGATGAAAAACTTACCATAGCACTCCGTACCCCAGAATCCTGGACAGCACTTTTTCTCTTCAATTTCCTTCTTACATATGTGATGGCATCCTGGCTGGGAAAGTGTATTTTCTCCTAACTTGACAGTGTATCTTAAAAAGAACAATCCAAAATTCATGATTGCAACACAAACATACCAAACGCCTGTTAGAGGGTTTCTAAGCAATCACATTGCAGTGCACTGAACTCTGAATGGAAGAAGGGCACTCATTCCCTCTGCCATACATGCACACAAGAGTTTGCACTTGAGTTATGTCTTCTCTAAGGATGCCCATTGATTTGAGCCTCAAAGATCGGTTACAAGAAATCTGCCAGGGACTGGACATGAGACAGGACCTTGGGCAGCCTGAGGGCATCAGGACAGAAACCTTGGATGCTGGAAGGTTAGAAAGCACAGAAACTAAGTTAGGATCTCCAGGGTGACTCAACATTTGACTTCACACCTAAAATGACCTTGAAAGAACAAAATCTCCTTGCAGGACTTGTCCCTTTCTGTCTTGCACTAAAGATTCCAGATTGGGATGCTGGAAATTTGGATTTAATAGCTGTGTTACTCACAGGTTCTCCATCCAATCTTGGACAAACCCCTTAAAACCCCAAGAGAAGCATCTTCTTTTCAACTGTTCATCCATCACCTCTACATACAGGGTAAGCCCTTGGTGGCAGTGTCTCTTGTTCCGCACGTATGCAGTACAGAACTATACCTGGGTCTGTCCAACAACCATGATGAGAGCAGATAACACTCAGAAAAGCTGCATACACTCACATTATTCTTACGCTTCATTTTATTTTTGGCACAACATCCTTCCCAAAAGGAACTTGGAAATTGTCTCAATAGCACTGCTGCTTTGGCTTCAATCTGAGTCCTATGCATGTCTGTGCAAAAACTGCTATAAACTGCAAAACTGCTACAGCTATTTTTAAAGTATTTCGACAGAATAGTGAATCACAGAAAACAGTAGACAATGGAGCTATATTTTAACAGTTAACATTCACTACTGAATAGATACACAAACAATGATCTATAGTGTTTCATTTTTTAAAAACTTCCTGGTAAATTCAGTTTTCCTTCACTCTTTTCCTATTAGAGCCAAGCTCAACAGAATAAGAACAAGGAACACATGAACAAGCAATTGTCATAAAGCGAACTAGGAAGGTAAAAAGTTCAGAGGATTATTGCTGGAAGCTGGGAGGATATACAAGGGGAACTATCATTATATTATTTTCCTAATAATCCACTATGGAATTCTGAGTCTGGATTAGGTTTCTATGCTAGACAGACCTGTGTTAAGTTGCTGTATCAGGATTAGCAAACTCAGGTTGTTTAGGGCAAGTTAGAGGTAATTAGCATGTAATTTGTTCTGTGGATATACAACCTTATGCCCAGCAAAAAGTCCATGGGATTTGCAAGGAGACAAAAGCAACAACAATAGGGGCCATAAATCCATTTTTATACATCTAAACCCAAAATTCCTTGGAGCTTTAGAGCTCAAAAAACATATGTGTTCTCCTGAAAGCATACGCACTACTCCTTGCATAGCAGAGCTGCACCAACACCTTAACATGGTTAAGAAATAGGCCTTACCTGCAGTTCTTCACTCCTAATCCTTGGGTGGTCTTTAACCAGCCTTTTGGACACACCATTTTAGGTGCTGCGGCACAAGCAGTACATGCTGTATTCATGGTAAACATCGTCTTGATATTGCATCGCATGGATTTTAACTTAAAAAAGAAAAAACAGAATGGAAATAAGCCCAAAATTAAATTGTTACCCTAGCCACTCATCTTGCCAACCTTAAATATCTTTATCAACATTGCACCATTCTTTAGATACCACTGGGAAGGGCAGTCACCAGTGCAGCTGCTGGGAGGTCCACCACACACTCATATGGGCTAAACTATCATGTCGTGCTGCTGCATGCTACTCCGCTTGGATCTCAGCTAGAAGGCAATAGGGCACATCACAGCTATCTTATCTTTCCCCTACACCTCACAGCAAAAATTCTAACCATTTCTAAAATAAATGAACAGTGCACAGTTATGATTAAGCTGATCTTTTATAAACATGTGGTAGTGGTATGTGAGAACAAGCCCTAAATTAATGCTTCTTTGCCAGAAGACACTGAATTAAAATGCAACACAGCATTTCTCTTCCATGCCATTGATGTGATCCATTTCACTAGTGGTTTCATTGCTGTTCTACAGGTCCAAAGAACCGAATGCATTAGCTCAGTCTATTTCCCAGACCCCAGGAGCTGCTCACACAAATATTTCTCATGGCAATTGTCTTCAAGAAGGTGCAGGTGGGTGGATTAAAAGGAAAGGTGCTCTGCACCAATCTGATCACCTGGATGGCCCTTGACGCTTTGACCCTAGGTGAGAAGACTTCATAAACATTGGCAAGAAGATCAGGTAGGAGACTTGGATAATTCACATGGCTGGTGATAAATTCAGCACGAGTCCTTCCACCCAACCAGAATAACTGCAGGGGTTCAGGTTTCCTCACATGGCTTTTCTGTACCCCTGTACCCAGCAATCCTGCTTCTCCAAATGAAACACAGCCAGAGCAGATGAAAACAGTACAGTCTCAGAGTGAATAATCATCATCATATGCCAACTTGTCATTAAAGCTCATGATTTTACCCCAAAAGTGTTTCCTTGAATTTCTAAACTCCTGGAGTCAAGCAACTGCACAGAAGCCTCATTGCTCATTTTAAAAAAAAGACAATGTTTGTCACTGACGATGGCAGAGAAAAGCTGGGAGGCATGAGCTCTGTTTGCCCCAGAAGGTCACTGGCTGGGGAAAAAACACACAGCTCACCTCTACTGTGCCTCTACAGGCACTGTATTTTCTAAAAATAAAAACATTAGATCAAATTTTGGGAGGAGGCCTTGATCTGGGATTTTTTAAGCCAATCCTGAACAATGCTGTTAATGTAGCAGCTCTCCAGTGCCCAGAACTCCTTGTTTTGGATTCCCATCAGCAATCTCAGCTTTGCTTCCTCTGAACTGAAGCCCAAATGCATACATTTGCCTCAAGGCAAGGGAGGAAACCCATGGCTTCCCACCAGTTATCAACAGTTCAGGAAGGCCCTCCCAGATGGTAGCCAGCAGACCCTGTCAGGAAAACCTCCTGAGAGATAACCCTCAAGTCCCAGGTCCACAGGGACATCGCCCTGGAATGGTTTCCTGACTCACACCCACGTTCCCCCTGCCTGGAGTTGTTGAGCTTTCTCTCACCTTCATGGATCCATTTTCTGCAGCCACACATGCAAAACTGCTGCCCAATGAAGAAAGTGATTTCTGTGTCTGTTGTTGCCCTTCACATGGATATTAATTTCTAGTTGTGCAGCTAGGGCTTTCTTTACCATACAGTAGCCTCCACTTCCTTTGGTGGCAGAATCCCCACCAAAGGAACCTGTTATGTCAAGGACTCCTTTGCATTATCAACAGCTCAAAACCAATCCGAGACCCACCAAATCCACCTATCCGTGTCCTGTGAGCACCAGCTTTACTGATTTTATCCAGCAGGACAGAGACCAGCTTTGCTGTTCCTTATGTTTCCACCCCATTGGCACACAGTGCAGCCGGAGGAGATTTCCCCTTTTTCAAAACAGAAAGACAGTCAATATGGATGAATAAACGAGGTGCTACCTCCAGAGTACTCTGTCTCAAAAGATCAGCAGTGCCATTGATGGGGTAGGGAAGAAGTCCATCCAACCAACTGATTCAAGTACAAATTAGGACTCCAGGTTAAAGCTGGGCTTTTGAAAGGAGCCAGTTGAAGCCAGGCACACGGTTCTGACAGAATGGTACATCTCCTGCCTTTCTAGTCTCATCAAATCCCAGCTTTAACCTTCCCTGAGACAATGCTTCAGAAAGAGGAATGGGAAGATGGCCAAGGAAGAAACACAGAGGTGGACATCTTCCCATGAGTTATGATGTTAATGTTGTCAGAATTACCCCACAAACCTTTATCAGGTGTCTGAGGCACCCCATCTGTATGAAAAAGACCACACAAACAATAGAGCACAAACCACTAAATTAAAACTCTCCAATCTTCTATTTCATCTTTACTTCCAGACATCAGGAGTTAGCTGTCAGACACAGCTGAGCCATTAAATGTGTTCTCTGTCATGGTGGTGGAGGAAGACACCATTATTCACACATTGTTCCATTTTCCTTCTCCTTCCTTCACCAATGTGGCTCCATTTCTAAATGGAGAGGGACACTGGGAGAGGAGAAGGGCTGTTACTCCTCCCTGTTGGCATCTTTAATTACTTGCAGGACTCTAAGACAAGACATTTATTGTAGAATTCCCCCTACCCTTCCTTCCTGGGACACTTCATGAACTTTAGGCAGCTTTCCAGTAAGATCTTCCGCTTTTTACAAGGAAATACGCTTGTGTCAGCAGCAACAGGCAGGAGGAAAGAGGAAGAAAACAGCTGTGTGGAAAATAATAAAAAAAAAAATTTCCCTTCTTATTTGAGTGACAGAACTGATGAAGCAGTCATTTTCTGGAGTGTTTTGCTTCTTAGGAAAGCAGAAGAGGGAATCAAGGGACATAAATGCAACAGTTTGGATACTTAGATTTTGGAGAGGATGAAAGACAGGAGTTTGAGTCAGAGGTGGCTCCTGGGGCACAGCCTCATGGAAAACAATGATGCAGTGCTCCCTTGGGCTCATCTGTGACCGCTGTTTCTACGTTTGAAGACACTGGAGAGGAAGCAGCAAGAGGGAATATCTGTCCCTGTGATGCAGCAATGCTGCCTGGTGGGCTGAGAGTCAGTGAGGTGCATGGTGGCTATGCCAGCGAAAAGGGATGAAAAGAGTCACCGTTCCGATCAGGTGATGTCGTGAGCCTGGACTGTATCACACTTTGGGTACAAACCAACAGAAAAGGAAGACTGGTGCTCTCAAACAGCTCCAAACTTAAAGGAGGCTTTTAAAGGAGAAGACTTCTAGCTGTAGTTGAAAGAAGTTACGAGCCAGGGTGCCTCTGTCCACACTGAGCTCTATCTTGCCGGGGCTGGACTGTGCTCCCTCCCTGTGCTCAAACACATGCATGTGCATGAGCAGCCACTGCCCTCTGTGCTAAGCTGAGATATATCTGAGCTTCTGGATGCTGCAGTGTTTCCTTCCCTTCTCTCACTCTGACACAGATGTCCCTTACTTCTCAAGTGCTCATGTTTCTCTTATTCCATCTCAAAAGAATAAGCTGGGAAGGGTTTTTTAAGGGCTATTTTAATTCCCCTCATTTCGCCCTTTATGTTTTCCTTCCAAACCGTAACACAAATCCTTCTGCATGGCAAAATCTCAAGGAAGAAAGAAAAACACATTTGGACGTCAGTGTTCGGCTCCAACAATCCTGGGAGCCAGTTCTGGAAACAGCCATTATCTAATGAATCACCAAGTTTCCAGTGCATTTGCCCTTTACAAAACAGAACTGTAGACACATGCTTGAGTCATTATAGTGATGCACCTCCCCAAGAACTTCTCAATAACACTTTAGCTGAACAGACCAGTGGCTCCTGGACACACAAACCCTTTGCCTTTGTCCAAGGAAGACACTTTTCAGCACGAGGGTGAACAATCAAGCTCAGAGATCACATAAGACAAGATCTACTATTGCCCTGGGTGTTCCCCACCAATCTCAGCTGCAGAGAGAGCACTGGAGGCACAGGGATGCAGAGAGCACTCCCCTCATTTCCCACCTGCCTCCATTCCACCCCTAGCACAGCCTGGGACTGGCCTCCGCCCAGCAGAAAAACTTTCATGGTTCTCACATCTGCTGCATCTACCCCAGCCCATACCAAGAGGTATACAAAACCCAAATCAGGCTAACAGATATGCTGTCATATTTGAGCCATCAAATCAGAGCCCTAGGGCAACATCACTGAAAAACAGCTGGCACAAAATCTCTCTTGTCTCTTGATGGCCCCTGCAAGCCAACTGAGGCCTCTTGTGGAATCACAGCACTTCTACTGCAGTCGGATCCAGTGGCCATCCTAAACTATCAGAGAAGACTTCATCAGACCCTTGTTTTTCCTTACCTCCCATTATAACCTTCCAAATGTTTCTTCTCTTTCTCCAAAGAGGGAACCTTTTGGAGAAAAAACTCTAAAAGGGAGTTATTTTTCCTGGATTAAATAAACTGCTCCAAGGTGATTCAAAAGATTTCACTTCTCTGTGAGTGAGTGCTCATTACCTGATATTTTAATTGTTTCACACCAAGCCAGACACCTCAGTGATTATAGAAATCAACACAGTGTCTCAAGGTGAAGAGACTTAAATTTCCACTTACACCAGCTGAAGATGTGAGCCCATGCCTCTGAACACACTACTATACTGGAACCCATCTGCCCGGAACCCATGCCTCCAGACAAACAAAAAAACACCAGCAGAGACACTTCTTCATGTTTGTGCTCAAGTCACCTTAGTGATCATACAAGCCTAAAGGTTCATGAGGTTCTTACCTTACTTGTATGCTTATTAGTCATTTATAGCCCTTTTATGAAAGGGTCTATACAAGAGCTTCCACTCCAAGTTCTGACACTGAAGCATCTTTTCAGTGCTCTGGCTTTTTCTAAATTAAGTCTTTCAGACTCACACGCACCTTCCTTAGCACAGGTCTGTCCACTCCCCACAAGGCCCCTCTTTGTCATTCAAGACAAGACAACCCTTCTATAGCTCCGATCCCCAGGGAATAAGATTTCCAAACGCCCCACACAACTTCTGACTTCATAGGCCAGTTCATTCCTCCAACAGCAGGACACAAGAAGGGCGATGGCAGAAGACAATATAGTACGAATTAGTGTGAATTCTAGCCTGCAGAAAATGGGATGCCTCACCATGGAGCCTAGAGAATAGATCTACAAAGGCATCATACATTCTTCTAGATGCTGCTGCTAAACACAAGAATGGAGATAAAGGAATCAACAGAAAATCAACAAAATCAAAACAAACCGGAAATTATTCCACACTCCTCATTGGGGAGCTGCTGGGAAATGTACTTGAAACAAAAGTATCTACCCTGTTGCAAAGCAACAATTTGAAGAGATTTTTAATTATTATTTTTTTTATAAAACTCTCCTAGGAAACTTATGGACCTGTCCTGCCAGATGCTAAGCTCCCATCACACGTATTGAAAATAGCGGAAGACAAAGATGCTGAGTATATTCCTTTCATATTGTTACTTTTGCATTGAGTGCAGAACATAAATACAAATTTAATCTGATCTAAAACTCAAGCAGCTCCCTTCAACTCTATTTTTAGTTCCTCAGTTTAGATGACACACATACCCGTACATAAGCAGAGAAGATACCTTACAGTCCTAAAGTTTAATTATGGATGTTATTCTGCAGCTAACTAAATGTAAATAAAAAAGCAGTTTTGGGGAGGACTATTTCATAACACACAACTATCCAAATATGAAGAACTGTTCAATGAACATTTAAACAAAGACTCACAGACTTACCTTCTGACTCTGGCAGTCAGCTGTAGGAGTGAAGCATGCTGCTAAGAAGAAAAACAGCAACCCAGGAGGATGCATTTTCATGCTTTTACAGGCAGGACCCTTTCCACAAAAGGGGTGGCGATAGAGGCTGCAATTTCTGTAAGATAAGACCGCCTACTAAGAATCAGATCCAAGACAAACCAGAGGTTAAAAGTAAACAGGGACAGAGCATTTTTGCACTGTGCTTTTTGGCTGCAAAACCGTCAGAAGTGGATCTGCTGCTTCTAGTGTTACATCTGAATCAGTACCACCTTTTTCTTTCTTTCTATTCCTTTTTTAAATGCACAAGCAGAACTCCTTAGTAAAAGGTTTACTCAAAACAGGAACATCTACGGATTTCCTCTTACATATCAGTTCAAAACAGAAGGAAGGAAATCCTTAGTTTTCAACTAATTGGAATGAAAAGAGATTAACTGTATACTTAACTGAAGGCAAATCCAATGGGCAAATTTAAATACCATGAATTCATGAAGGGTAAGTTAACTTCCTTTTACCACTGATGTTAATATGTCCACAACACCTCAAACAGAAGGTAGACTAGACCATTGCCTATCCCAAAGTATGCATGAACAAAACAACGCAAGTGACATGCTGTGTTTCAGAGCAATAATGTAAGCACATCCTATCAATCAATCAAGCACTCTGGGTAGGCTTTGATAATTATTTTAAATATTTGAGTTTCTCAGCAAGAAAAGCATCACATTTTGCAGGTGCTATGGCAGCAATGGCAAAATACATCATTTTCCAAACACTCTGCTGACAGCTTGATGAATCCAAGGAGCACTTCCATAGCACTGAGAATAAGAAAGTCCCAACATGGGATTAAAAAAAAAAACATGCTAGCCTGAGGTATGGTCTACAATTTATTTTCTCCTTTTGAACATTACAAACAACCAAGAATTGATTATCAACAGATTTTACATGGACTTTGTCTCCCTGTGCTGCCAAGAGAACCCACTGTACTGAACAGTCCAAGGACTGCTTCTGTTAGTAACAAATCCTACTGAGCAATGAGGGATCTTTTAATTTTTGAGCCATTAATAGTACGTAAAGGTGCCTAAATGAAGCCAGGATAGGAAGCTATTGTTGTGTTTACATAAATAATTGAGAGCATTAGTATTTTTTTGCCCCCTGCATACACGCAAAGATACACATGCTAACATATAAAGTATATAAGAACTGCTGTACTTACTAGTGCCGTTAATTGTGCTTTACCTCTTCCTCCATCCTACAGAGATAGCCAGCATGATGAACAGCCAGCACTATTATATATCATGCACTAACAGGAAGCAGATAAGTCACACAACCATCCACTGCAACCCATGTGAGAAGTACCAGCCCACAGTTCAATCTGACGGCTCAGCCCACTTGTTCTGTTACAGGACAACTGCAGCCCTGGGACCATCGCTGCCCAACAGACAGCCACTCCGTCAGGGTCAGAGGGTTCACACAGCTCTGGAAACCATTTGATAACCTGCAGATCTGTGAAATGAGGCAAAAGAAAGATAGCTCAGACCAGTTCTGGTGGGATGGTAAAATCACAAATGGACAGTGGAGACGTGCAGGAGGTAGAAATAAACGGATGCCTGTAAAGTTGAAAGCAGATGACCTTTATTGCTAAAACACACACATATTTATAATCACATATTCTGCAAAGTCACTGTGCACGCGCGCAAGCATCAAATATGATTGGTTATATCAACTCTGTACACGTGCATAAACATAAGACATAATTGGTTATACCAACTCTGTACATGTGCACTCTGTACACAGGACGTAACTGGTTATACCAACTAAAACATGCGAAACTTGTCTCAGTCTAATTGGTCCAGATAAACTGCCGAATTGAGGTTCTTTGTGCCAAGTTCCCTTTATCGTGGAATGCGCACCCGTGTTCTTCTAATTGGCATCTTTCTTTTTTTGTCTTCTTGTTTATTCTGTTCAAGGTCTTCTAAAGGCGTCTGGAATGCTCTTGCGACCGTTAGCTAAATATGTGTCCACAATTCCCCCTTTTTTTGTTTTTCGTCAATTAACACCTGCTGTATTGCCCTTTGCAAAGATCTATGAACACAATTAATTAAACACAGTAAAAGCAACATTATACCTAATAAAATACATAAGAATAAAAGAAACCCCGATTTTTAACAAAGATACAAACCAACTCCTAAGTCCCCATCCTGCAGGTAAATGCTCTAAGCCGAAATGACAGCTTTCTTAATTGCGTTAAAGCTCTTGCAGCTCCTTCTTGCCTCTGCAGTTGTGTTATCTTGTTTATTAATTGCTCCACTGTCCAAGTTCCTTATGTCCGTTGTTTTTCTGGTGGTTCAAAGTCCATTCATACTGCAGCTGTCACGTACTCCGGCCCACTCATGCTAACTGCGGCCTACTTATGCTAACTCTAAATAATCAGGCTCAAAGAAATGTCCCCCATTTTCCATGAAATCTCCCACAATTCCCCCTTTTTGTTTTTTGTGCAAGCCAAGTTACATGAAATGCTTTTGCAATCATACGTTCAACTATTTTTATGATACATGGTACAATCATTACAACTGCTAATATTACAATTAAAATAACTAAGCCATGCATAAGCAAATCTTTCAACCATCCCGTAATTCCCAAACTTGCTAGCCATCCACTTAACCCTGTGTCAGTTATCGTGAGCCTTTTACTCTGAATCATATTGATGTCGGGTGTTAGTAACATAAGTCGTCCAGGGCTACATGGCCTCCCGTTAAGTTTCACTGGAATTCCCTCCCACGCTCTATCCCCACAAATTAAAAACATCCCTGCAGGTAAAGCAGTTGGAATAGAAAAAAGAGCGTGATATTCTGGAATAGATATAGTTACACCAAGCTGTAGCATTTCTATATACAGGCAAAATAGCATTTACATTCTGACCCTTTCAAGTGGTGTTATAATTAAACATCACACAGGCATTCACGATGACTGATCCTAACAACTCTAACTCTTGAGGTTCTTGCATCACTTGAGGCCGGTGTGCATACACACCGTCCCAATTATCGACACAGGACTGTGGGTTATTACAAAGGGAAAATTCAGGCATTGGATCTGGCCAGGTGTCTAGAGGTAACCCCACCAAACAGGTAGAAAAAGGGTTTTCAGGGGTAGCGACAGAAAGACATATAGCTTCTTGATGCGTTATGTTTGCCAAAGTTACCCATACATTCTGTTTTGGTTGTTGGATCATCCATTCTTCACTTATGTGTGTCACCCGTAACAGGCCGAATGCAGTGAGAAGGAGTCCTTTTCGGTTCAGCGTTTTTCCAAGGATGTAACAACTGTCCAGGGTTTTACCCACTTTGCTGGTACCCATCTTGTTCCGTGATCTGTAACAACACAAGCGTAACCTCGTCCCCAGGTTATTAATTGAAATGGTCCTTCCCATACATTTTTCTCAACATTTTTAACCCTAACTTGAACATTGCTATTAATGTCAAACTAATCTCCTACCATGCCTTGCACATGTTTTACAATTGGTGGTACACTTTCGCCATCTGTCAATCTCAAGTAATTCAACACATATACAACTTCGTTCAATCATTCGTGAGGAGTAGCCATCTGCTCTCCCACTTTTTGTTTTTGCAGTTGGCGTTTCAAAGTCTGATTCATGCGTTCTACAATTGCCTGGCCTGTAGGGGAATGTGGTATACCCGTGGTATGTACAATACCCCATTGACTAAAAACTTTTGAGTTGCCTGTGCGATGTAGCACGGCCCATTGTCAGTTTTTATCTGAAGTGGAATGCTGTGTGCTGCAAAAGCCAAACGCAGGTGTTGCTGGATGTGTCGACTTGTTTCTCCTGTCTGTGCTGTTGCCCATACAGCTGCAGAAAAACAATCCACAGACACATGGACATATTTCAATTTACCAAACTTAGGTACGTGTGTTACATCCATTTGCCACAATTATAAAGAATGCAAAACTCGTGGATTTACGGCTCCAGGTGAATTTGTTCCCACAAGTTGTTGTGTCATCGCGTGGTTCACCGGCACGCTCTGCTGGCCGTTTCTCACCATAGGTGGTAGTGGAGAGCTATTCTTACGATATTTAGAACGGCAAACATGAGCTGTATGGCCACCCTTCTGGCATCTTGCACAAACCCGAACTGGTGTTACAGTTTGTTGTCAATACTGCGAATGATTTTGTCTCGGTTTCCCTTTAGCCCGACATTGTGCTTTTAAATGACCAGGCTTTCCACAATTGTAACTTTTTTTATCCCCTCTAAGTGCAACCACAAACGCTTCTGCTAATGCAGTCATTTGGAATGACGTAGTTCCAACCTTGTTACATGCCTCAACCATATCAACAAGGCTGGCATCTCTGGGTAACGCCATCAAAAGCTTTTTACAGTCAGCATTTGTGTTCTCTACTGCTAATTTTAGCGCCAAGGCATTCTGAGCCTCCACACTCGATACTTGTTTAGTTACTGCATCTCTTAGTCTGTCAATGAAGGACGTGTACGATTCCTGGGGACCCTGCTTAATTTGCGTGAACGACATAACATTTCTACCCTCTTCTGGCAGAGTCATCATTGCTTTAAATGCCATTACTGAAGCAGTTCTCAAGGCCTCTACAGGAAACCTTGCCTGTAATCTTGGATCAGTAAATTTGCCAGTCCCAATAAGGTGATCCATCCCTATTGCCTTCATGGGGTCATCATCGGGTCTATCCAAATTTTTTATAGCAACTTCTTCACACAGTCCCCTCCATCTGTCTCTCCACAACATTTTCTGAGTTGGCTTTAATAGCATGCTGGCTAATTGATCGCAATCATACAGAGTCAAAAGTTGAGCTCCGAAAATATTGTCGAGCAGCGCTTCAGTGAAAGGAGCCGTCAGCCCATAATTATGGACTGACTTGTGCACTTCTTTTATCAAATCCCATGAAAAGGGATTCCATTCATTTGGATTATTTGCCCTCACTATAACAGGATAAGCATGAGGAACGACCACTCCCTCGCTTGCTGCTTTCTTATGTATTTCTCTCCAGTAGCTTCTCCGGTCACAGCCCAAATCTTCAGCTACATTGTAACTTGGTGGCGGTTTTTCTTTTTCTAAAGAAATATCGTCTCGGGGA